GCTTGTGCAGACATCGGTCTCTGGCCCCCACGGCGAGGGCGGCAGCAGCGCTGATCCCGGGCCAGGCAGGCGGCCGCTGTCCGTGCAGGGCGAGGAGTAACCTCGTCGTGCTGAAAGGATCACGTGGAGTTTTTTTGACCCTTGTGAAATGTAATTTCGTTTGTCAGATGTGGAAAAGGAAACCAAACTGCAGGTTGGCCGTTCTTGTAGGGTGATGGGAAAAACTTGTCGGTGGAAAGGACGCTTTCGATGTCCCGGGTGCGTGTTTTCCAGCAGCAGATTACGGCTCGTGTACAGTGTGTGCAGCTCAGTCTGTAACCCCGTTGGCTTTTCCAGCATATTCCAACTCCTGTCGGATTAGTGCGCTCAATTATTTATTCAATACCTGCGTGCAGGGATTTACCATGAGCATTTCCATTCTCCCCGCTCCCCCACTGCCATCGATGATGGTGGGTTTGGGTTTTTTTCCTTCTAATCTTTTGTGTGCGGGGGGACATAACCAAGTCCATCTAAAGGCTGTGAAAACCATAGTTTTGTGTGCGAGTTCTCCTGCAGGACTCGTGTTGCATGGCAAGCCCTAAGGTAGGTGGGCTAGCTGCTGTGTTCTCGTCCCCACGCCGGCCTCGGGCAAGCTGGGGTGTCCCCGCCGGCCCAGTTGGCCTGTTCTGACAGACTGGGGGAAATGAGGACAGAGCGGTTGTGGGGAGCCAGGCTGGCTGCTGGTGCAGCTCCCGGGTTTCGTGTGAGCTGCACCGCGCTCTCGGCAGAGGGGCAAGCGTCCCTGGCTCAGCGGCGGTGCTTGGCGTGTGCTTGCAGTGACAGAACAGGTCGCCGTGGCTCCTTCTCGGTAGCTCACCACGTGGTGTAAAGACAAATTCTCCTACTCTGCTGATAATAAATACCAGAAGGTGCAAATCACGCGTAACTCTCAGTTTTATGAGCTGTGGCTTGTTTTCAGAGTTGTTGGCTTTCGTTGGCTGCAGAAGTGGCGCTTCCCCAGTTCAGCTCTTTTCCAGGTTACTGTGCGCGGAAGAGATGGGGCCGCTCTTGTGCTTCTGCTGGGGAGTTGAGAGAAGTAATTCTTTGCATGTGATAGTAAAATTAAAAGTGCAACAAGTTTTTTCTTTTGATTTCTAAAATTAAGTTAGTTTTATAGTATCTTACA